CATGCATGCATATACATATTGGTGGGTGTGATTATTCACTATTGGCCATGTGGGTTTCCTTAGTGTATCCAGTGAACATCGTATGAGGCATGTTTGCAGTGGCTGCACTGTACATGGTGTTTTTCTCGCATCAACCTTGATGCGTGGATGGACCATGATCATAAGAGCTTTTGGCAGACGAGAAAGGGATCAAGAGCACAGCACTATGGGTGTTGATCACGATTAGGTCAAATTATTGGTGTAATCCAACAACTACGCTGCAAGAAAATCCCAGGGTCAATCATTGCCCAGTTTCATTGTGAACCTTGGACAGATCGAGGCCAGAAGGGTGGCTTCAATTCTAAACGCTTGCGCCGCTTCATCCAGGTCAGGCTTCACAATGGCCGAAGTTTTCTGCCTCCGCACGGGCTGATCGCGGTGAGACTTCCCCAGCTCGGATTTTTGTGCAAAATAAGCTGCTCGCAGGTCCAGCTGTCTTGGGATCAGCGGGTTTCATGGGACCTTGCCATCCCGGGCTTGAAGTGACTTGACGTTTCGGTAAATTTGCCAATGGCAAAATGAACATGTCAATTCATTGATGATTTTCCAAACATGGTCATGTTCACTTGCTTGGCGAGTTTGTCAGAATTTAAAATTGGGAAACTTCGCAGGAAAACCATGTAATGTTGGATGCTGATTAGCGTCGGGCCGCCCCAAACAATTCTGAGACTCTCTTTAAAGTGTTTTTTTAAAGTACCAGGTACGCAATAAAATTGGATCAATTGATTTCAATTGATTTTCAATTAATTTCAATTGATGTTCAGTTGATTTCAATTTACTTTCAACTGATTTCAATTGATGTTCAATTGATTTCAATTTATTTTCAATTGATTTCAATTATTTAGTTTCAATTGATTTCAATTTACGTTCAATTGATTTCAATTTACTTTTAATTGTTTTTAATTTACTTTCAATTGATTTCAATTATTTAGTTTCAATTGATTTCAATTTACGTTCAATTGATTTCAATTTACTTTTAATTGTTTTTAATTTACTTTCAATTGATTTCAATTTACTTTTAGTTGATTTCAATTCGCGTTCAATTGATTTCAATTTATGTTCAATTGATTTCAACTTACTTTCCATTGATTTTCAATTGATTTCAGCTTACTTTCAATTGACATCCCATAGTAATCCCATAGAAATATCATAAGAATATCATGGAAATTCCATAGGAATCTCACAGAAATCCCATAGGAAAATCATAGAACCACCATAGAAATTCAAAAAAAACTTCATGGAAACCCCATAGAATTCCCAAAGAAACCCTCTAGAAATGCGATAGAAATCCTTTTTAAATCCCGCAGTAATCCCATAGAAATATCATAGGAATCCAATAGAAATATAACAGGAATATCATGGAAATCCCATAGGAACCCTACAGAAATCCCATAGAAAAATCTTAGATATAACATGAAAATAGCATAGGAACCACAAAGAAATCCCATAAGAATCCCATAGAATTCCCATAGAATTCCCTCAGACATCCCATAAGAATACCATAGAATTCCCATTGCATCCCTTCAGAAATCACATAGTAATCTCATAGAAATATCATAGAAACATCATGGAAGCCCCATAGGAATGCCATAGGAATCCATAGAAATCCAATAGACATATCATGGAAACCCCACAGAAATCCCAGAGAAATCCCACAGAAAAATCATAGAAATACCATAGAGACCTCATAGAAATCTGATAGAAATCCAATGGAAAGCCCTTAGACATCTCTTTGAAATCCCAGAAAAATTCCAAAGAACCACCATGGAAATCCCATAGAAACCACACAGGAATCCAATAGAAATCCCATAGCCATAGACATCCTTTTGAAACCCCATAGGGACCCCATAGAAATACCATCGACACCCCCTAGAAATTCCATAGTAACCCCACAGAAATATCATAGAAATACCATGGAAATCCCACATGAATCCAATAGAAATCCCATAGAAATATCATAGCCATCATAGAAATTCCAAAGAAACTTCATGGAACCCCCATAGAATTCCCAAAGAAATCCTCTAGAAGTGCCATAGAAATATTTTTTAAATCCCACAGTAATCTCATAGAAATATCATAGAAATCCGAAAGACATATCATGGACACCCCAAAGAAATCATGTAGAAATATCATAGAAATACCACAGAAACCCCACAGGAATCCAAAGGAAATCCCATACATCCTTTTGAAACCTCATAGGAATCACACAGAACTACCATAGACACACCTTTAGAAACACCATAGAAATTACATAGATTTTCCATAGAACTTTTATAAAACAAAACCATAGAAACACCATAGAAATCAAGGAGAGGATGCCAGGAGAATTGAACTAAGTAAGAGACAAAAGCTATAGCAAAGGAAAGGGGAAACTGATTTTGTAAAAACATCATGTCAAAAAAAAGCTGGACACAATAGAGGACCCCCACAACAAACATACTATTGAAGATCAAGGTTGTGGGCTACCCCCTTGAAAAATTGTTTGAGTGCTGTTTTTAAATGGCGTTGTAAAAACACCTCCTATATTATTGGGAAATTAGACATTTCGATAAACCCAAAAGAATGGAGACAAGAAAGTAAGATAGAAAAACTAAAGAAAAGGAAAGGATACACGGATTTTGCATTTGTTTCACTTCAAATAAAGCCTGACACGATAGAGGACCACCATCATACTATTGAAGATCAATGCTGCTCATGGGCTACCCCCTTGAAAAATTGTTTGGGTGCCTTTTTTAAATTGATAATTGTGCTTTAATAAGGCATCCTATATTTTGAGAAATTAGATATTTTGAGATTTGAAAAGAATGGAGCTAAGAAAGTAGTAGAAAGAGAAAAACTTTAGCAAAGGAGAGGAAAAGGAAAGAAGAGACGGATTTTGGACAAAAGAAAACACGTCAATAAAAAGCTGGACACAATAGAGAACCCCCACAACAAACATACTATTGAAGATCAAGGTTGCTGATGGGGTACCCCCCTTGAAAAATTGTTTGAGTGCTGTTTTTAATGGTGTTTTGATAAGGCATCCTATATTTAGGGAAATTAGACATTTGAGATTTTTAAAAAATGGAACTAAGAAAGTAAAACGAGAAAAGCTTTAGCAAAGGAAAGAAAAAGGAAAGAAGAGACGGATTTTGGACAAAAGAAAACACGTCAATAAAAAGCTTGACACAATAGAGAACCCCCACAACAAACATACTATTGAAGATCAAGGTTGCTGATGGGGTACCCCCTTGAAAAATTGTTTGAGTGCTGTTTTTAATGGTGTTTTGATAAGGCATCCTATATTTAGGGAAATTAGACATTTTGAGATTTTAAAAATGGAACTAAGAAAGTAAAAAGAGAAAAGCTTTAGCAAAGGAAAGGAAAAGGAAAGGAGAGAAGGATTTTGGACAAAAGAAAACACGTCAATAAAAAGCTGGACACAATAGAGAACCCCCACAACAAACATACTATTGAAGATCAAGGTTGCTGATGGGTCACAGATTTGAAAAATTGTTTCTTCAGACAACAGCTGGACAAAGTAGAATACCACCACAACAAACACATATTAATTAATTAATCATGCCGAATAATTCATTGATTAATTAATTTCAAAAATGCTGAAAAAAAAAAACAATGCTCTGGAAAAACATGAACAAATGCTGAGAAGAAAACATGCTGAAAAAATGAAAAATCTGAAACAAGAAACTGAAAAGATGCTGGAACAAACTTAACCCAATACCGTACCACCCAAACAATTACACTTGTTCAGAATTATGTTGGGAAAACTTTCCACAATGCAGTATCCTCACACTGATCGGGGTACGACATTACGGGATAGATTCAGTCCTGTGGGAACAGACGTGTGGTTTCCTGTGAAATTGGCCTTGGCTCAGCTGATGTGAGATCAGATTTGCTTGTTGGTTTCATTGGTTCAAGCACAGAAATGGAATTATCCCCAAGAATTTCTGATGATTACCATATTTTTCCGATGGGTTGAACCACCAATCATTTTTTTGGCAGTCAGACACTACCAGGAAATTCAATCAGGGCCCAGAAGCATGCATGCCTCAATTCCCCTTAGATATTCTTCAAGGAGCGTACGATACGATCCCGAAAGCGCAGGAACTATAGTGCCACAGTGCCACATATACGTATACAGTATATATAATATTATATAATATATAATATATTATCATATTATACATATATATATATAATATGTTTTAATCATATATATATATATACCATTATAAATATATATATTGTTTTGGTGAGGGATATGGCGTATAGTTATTTACCATTCGAATCAGTCTTTTACCTGAGCGTTTGGCCAGGTGCAGTCTTCCAGTTCTTCCAGATTTTTCATGGCGCTACAATGGCTATGGGTCAAAATTAAAGACTTGGGGGGCCACAGATGGCTTACAAAGTCTATCTTTAGTACTAACATGTATTAACCATCCAATTATTGGGGTACCCAATTTGACCCATACCCATATCCACCTAGAGTTTGTTGGTAAAAAATGTGTTTTCATGATGTTTGGATGCTTCATGGGCAATATTCAATCATTTGTGCATGCCATTGTACTGGAGAAGACATGGCTACAATATGTTGCCTCTCGAAACCTGTTTCCCATTTGGACACTGCAACATGTATATAAAATTATATATATATACATATATTAGTTGATTCAAATGGAAATGACGATGTTTATCCACAATTATTTGGCATGTGTATAGTAGATATCCGAGCGGAAATGCTGCCGGGTATACTTAACTGAGTATCCGGTTTGGAAAATGAGTGGTCGTAACATCACTTTTGGATACTGGGTGGTGAACCAGTCATTTAATCCCAGCATTTTTGGGTGGGCATTTTGCAGGGGTTTTCACAGAAATCGGGAGAAATCCGAACCTAGGTGGGTCAGGTCCGGTCAGGTGTTTAGTGAGTTTCGTGTCTCACCCTGTCGCTTTGGCTGCGGCAGGCTCACTGCTGGTCTGCAAAATCGCAGGTGCAGCAGCACGCGCCGGACTGTCCCTCGAAGAGGCCGAGGGCCGAGGGACGGCCAGGAGCTGCTGAGGATCGAAGGAGGCAGCTTTTCTTCAATCAAAATAGTTTTCGGATCCGTTCGGTAATCAAACGTGGCAACTGAACATCCTAGTTTTCATATGTTCATATGTTTTCATGGAGGGTGGGAAAATAATGGAAGTAAATGGTGGATTTGCCAATGTCAAGGGTAAAGCAACCTTTTCTTTATGGTAGAACCATGGTTCAATGAGCATAATAAATCATAATAATAGGATAATAATTTACCTTGTACATTGCAATTCTCATGATCCTTGATAGGAATCCCTAGTGATGGATCAATTTACTCTCCAGTAGTCAAACATGGCTTGCCGGGAAATGTACCAAATGGAGGTGTTAAGGGAAAATCATCGAACTAAATAGGGAATATAGGGAATTGTCCATTGCCATGTTTGATTACCGGAGGGAATTGACTGATGCTTTGTAGATGCGTTGAAACTGCGAAACCACCAGCCAGCCAGTCTTACATAGACTTTCTGATGAATGTCAGGGGTAAGTTTTTATGAAATGATGTACCCTTACAAAAGGCACCCCCCCTTCCCTTTCAAGATCTTTCAAGGGCTCCATGGTTGATCGGGGAGTCCAAGTCCTGTTGGGGACTTCCCTCAACAGCACCTTCGGCCGGGAGAAGGTGATTTTTTTTTGCAGCTAGGGGCTCTTCGACAACGCTGGGATGTTGGAGAAAGCGTTCCGTCGTCTCCCTTTGTTTCTGGGCAGCTTGGAGAAGCGGTGCATTTTGAAGCGACATCCGAACCCGACGCTTGCGGGGTGGACCCCTTGATGGCATGGCTGAGATGACCAATGAGTTTAGAGTTTGCCACAACCCAGGGCCTTGTCCGAGCAGTTGACTTTTTGGCTTCAAACCATTCCAATTTCGCGGCGTCACGCTGAAGAATGAAGGGGTCAATGCGTTGGTTAAAGGGATGCTTGTCATCAATCTGTTTCTCTATGGCGAGGGACTCATTTGCTTGCTTCTTGCAATGAGGACTTCTAAGGTTTACGGCTCCGCGCTTAACGGTGCCCTTGCTGGCAATGCTGCAAGTTAGAATCTGCCTTGTTGACAACGCAGCGCAGCGCGAAGGACTGAGGCAGAGGTTGGACAACTTGGTGCGGGCATGTAATATAGTAAGGACATGTAAGGACCATGCCTGGGAGATCTTTAACGGTCCTTTGGCTTCCAAGAATCTATGGGGCAGGAGGTGGAGGAACGGCATTGGGTGCGCGGACCCTTGGCCGCAACAGTGCATGGACCTCCACGTTGACGTGGAGATTGGACGTCGCGGGGAAGGTCAACCCCCATTGCTTGGCACATCGCACCCGCGATCGCCCGCGATGCACCTGCCCGTGACTCCGTAGCACCACCGCCGAAAGCTGCGTCCCCGGATCCCACATACGGACTACACAGACACCCTGGAAGACTACACAGACACCCTGGGCTACAGTGACTACACCGTGTATAGATGTACAGTATATAGCAACCTTGAAAAGATGCTTGAAAGTGTTTCCAAAAATTTACTTCGATGAGTCTTCCCATTTAATTTAATTTGCATATTTTCCCGGTTGCTTCAACTGTTTGGTTTCTTTTGGAAGTTGCTATATTTTATTTGTCAATGATATTCCCATTACATCCCCATTACATCCCCATTACATCCCCATTGTACAACCATCTTCCCCCATGAAATCACAATTTTCCTCACAAACGTTGATTTACAGTAACATACAAATAACATGTTTTCCTTTCACTAAATCACAAATTCCAATCTTTTCCCATATTTTCTTAATTGTTTCCCATATATTGTTTCCATATGTTTCCATTTTTTCCCATATGTTCCCATATTTTTCCATCATGTTCCCATCATGTTTTCATATTTTCCAATATGTTTCCATATGTTTCCATATGTTTCCATTTTTTCCATATGTTCCAATATGTTTCCATAATTTTCCCATATTTCCCCGGATGTTTCCATACTTTTCCATCATGTTTCCATATTTTTGCATATTTTCCTTCGGCAATTCCACCTTTTTTATCATTGGAGCCCAACCGCCAGGTGTTCCACGAGGCGGAAGCTGCTGCCAATACCGTGCGTACCCAGGGAGTGCCTTTGTAGCGACCGGCGAACTGGGGGAAAGTGACCGAAATGGGGGGAACACTCCAAAATAATGATTATTAATGGGTAATAATTGTTGTTAATCATTGGTAGCAAGGGATAATAACATATGATAATGGGATAATGATGGGATACTAATGGCTAATCAATTGGTAATCTATGACTGGTTGGTGGTTTGGAACAGCCGTGGGCTCTACACCTACCAGCAGGTGCGGCCGTGCCCTGCTGATCGTAGAGCGTTTCGTTCACCGTGTTGTGCCATGGACCTTCATGGACCCTGCCGGAGTTGACGCTGGAGGTGGGCTTTCTGCCGTGGTCATGGTGGTGGTCTTTGATCCTGCACGTGGGTGCCTCTTGGGTCGTTCTGTCCGTGTTGGGACTGGTTTGGTGCTTTCTGGCCTCTTGGATGGAGCTCCTGATGTGCTCACTCTGTTGGATGTTGTCCTGGTGCAGCAATTCTCCTTTCCGTTGCTGAGGGTGGATGATGGTACTAAGCTGGTGTTGCACTCACTGTATACCTGGGAGGACTTCTTCACACTGGTCGATGCTTACTGCGGGTTAGGTGATCCGACACATGGAGCCCCTGCCGTTGGTATGCATACCATGGTTGCTGTTGATTCAAATGCCCGTATGATGTACTTCTACAAGGTTTATGGAGGATGTGAGTATGTGATTGGTGATGCTGGCAGTACCCAGGTGATCGCTGGAGTGTGGTCCAAGTGCAATCATGCTGCGGTGATGAGTGCTGGATTTTCATGTCCGCCGTTTTCCCAAGTGGGTGATCGTAAAGGAGAGGCAGCCCTTCGTGCTATGTCCCTTCCTAAACTCCGTAGAGCTGTACTGTGTCAGTGTGTTCATGTTTTGGTGCTTGAATGCGTTGTCCCTGCATGCAGAGATCCGTTCATCTCACAACACCTTGATAGGTTTGTGGACGTGTCTGGATTTGTGAAGGAGGACATCAACCTTGAGCTCTCTGCTTGTGGTCGGGTGCAACAGTTGATGCAGAAACAAACACAGATTGACGGGCAGTTTCTGGAGTTCACCCACCATCCGCCTCAACAAGTTTCGAAGCTACAGGCCCAGATGCAGGCTCAGTATCCACAACTTCACGGCCAAAGTGAAACTCAGAACCAGTGCATCCAGATGTTTGAGATTCGGTTTTCTCATATACGTGGCTTGTTGCGGAAGCGCCCGAGATATGATGGTGAATGTTGGGGTGGGCATGAGCTGCTTTGCTCTCACAGTGGCATGATGATGATGGGGTCTTGTTGTGCCGTGTGCATGATTGCTGCTCTGATGCCCTTCTACCATGTTTTGGGGTTCGTGTCAACCGCCTTTTCAGCCAGGGCTGGCCACAGTGTCAAGTCTTGGTTGTTTACGCTGTTGATCTTTTTCAAAGTTTGCTGGATTGGAGAGGCCTCTCTTCCAGGTCCGGTTAGTCAGGCCTTGCGGCCGCCTTGGCCGTAGTGTCACCACAGTCAATGCACTGTCTTCCCAACCCAAGACAGTGCGATACACAAAGCGGTACAAAGTGGTGGTTTGGAACATTTGGATTATTTTTCCATATATTGGGAATGTCATCATCCCAATTGATTTTCATACTTTTCAGAGGGGTAGGTATACCACCAACCAGACAAACAATGGTTTTTTTTGGTTAAACCCTTGTTCGAAGCCATATCGGAAAAACATATTGAGCCAAATGAAGGTAATATGTATATATAACATTATATAACTATATATATACTGTAGTTTGTTTATTGATGTTTTTTGTTTATCTAATTTATCCATACCAAACTAAGCACCGCCGTTTTCGGGGGGCAAATCATGTTGACACATACACGATGAAGGACCCGTAGATGATAACAAGTCCCCCTGAAAGTTGCTAAATTGTATGTAACATCACAACTGGAATTCATGGTTGGTGAGTTGAACCATACCAAAAACGGTGTCCAGCACTTTCCATTTCGAAGACCCAGGAATTATGAAACGGGCAACATTTCGATGTGCCTAGCTAGGTGTCAGGGCATGGCAGGGCACATCATGGATGGCCATCCCAGGGGCCCAGTAATCAGAAGGTAGCTATGGACCCGCTGTTGTTCCATAGCTTATATGGCCTTAAGATAAATCTGCTGTTCTACACATAAAAACTCTGGTTGGTGGTTTGGAACATGAATTTTATTTTCCCATATATTGGGAATAGTCATCCCAACTGACTTTCATATTTTTCAGAGGGGTTGAAACCACCAATCAGAACTCATTGGCATGTGTTTTCCTTGAACCACTGATGCCCCCAAGGGCTTTAAAGAATGGAGGATTACTGGCATTTTTTTCCGACTTCCTGGTGCCGTGAGCCACTAAAAATACTCGACTCTTGATTTGTTTATCGCAAGTAATTACCCCAAATGGCTTATATATATATAATACAGTGAATATATGGGATTATTCTAACTTTATAGCCACTCCCCTCCAAATAAACATAGACATTGAACATAAACCGTGTTTGGGACTAATCTTCCAACCCCCAAGTCATGGCAGAGTCTCTAAAAAACGGGATACCATTTTGTATACCTGGGACCTCCAAGGTGAGCTTCCATTCCTGCAGTATTCCAGGGATGTTGCCAGCCTGGGGCCCTGGGGCCCTGGGGACCTAGCAGCAAGTGTGGTGGGGAAGATGCTGGGTGTCTTGCTGTGATGGTTTCATATATATATACAAGAATATTCGGGAATAATATTTTATATACGATATTTCACATCATATCATATCTTATATTTAAACTATTCAGACAATATAGTGTGCTCTAGTATATTTTAAATTAGTTGGATATAAACTAGTGTATTATGATTTAACGCAGTATTATAGTTTTTTCAATACATCAATCCAATTTGTATAATTAACATTAGTATAAAAGACCGTTTGATGTGTTAGAATACATGTTGATATAATCTCATATATTTTGTAAACTGTGTTCGTAAAATATTGCTTGGTATGATATGATATTGTTTATGATTTCTTCCAATAAGTATATTGCAAGTACAGTTTTGATGTAATATAGTAAACTATTAAATACATAGTTGGATGCATTAGAAGTTCGGATATTTGATATTGTGCAATCAATTAATTTAGTTAGTTTGATATTACCCGCTGGAAAATTGACATAGACCGGACCCTGAAAAGAATGAGTTTTTAGTGGAAACTAATCTTCCAAAACCTATCTGGCAGGGTCTATGTTAATTTACTGGAGGGCGTAATATATTACAGAGTAATGACGATACAACACAAGGAAATTTAATATAATATAATTTAGTCTAATGTATTGTTTATTTAAAAACTAGAAACAGTTTGATTTTTGATAGGTATTTAGCTTAGTTTAGATTAATATACAATAATTTAAATATAGTTTCAATATGTTTCAATACAATGTAATATGCCTAGGTTTCAATACAATGTAAATTGTATTGCAAGGTCATATATGATTCAGATAGGTTGGCGTGTTTTGGCGCATTTGGGGGGGACACCTCGAGTGACTGCCGTGGTACGCCAGGCATCCATCTTTGTGTTTTCTTAATAACGAAACTAATGACTTTGGCGCCCCCCAAGTTTGAGACATCCAAATTCAAAAAACCTGTGGTATTTTAGCAGTTTGCTGCGGAAAATGGTCCGGTGACAGATGACCTATTGACATCGACTTTCCATAGCTATGCCGGATTACCGGTGCATGATGGTGCATGTCTATCTGACGGGAAGTTTTCAAATGCAAGAACCTGGCGCTATGTGCTGGACCTGTTCATTGTTGAGGTGCCAAAAAATAAAAAGTGCGGAGTAAATTCAACAGTGCACTAAAGATTGGGGATTGTTTATTGTGTGCCCGAGTAAGGGGCTACTAAACCCGATCACAAACCCTCCATTTTCAGGAGTCCACGAAATATGCGTTGTTAATGGTTGTTTAAAAAAACAAACCCCTATGGATCCTTAAATACGTCTTGAAAAGGGACTGAACCCATCTTAAACCCCCAAATCATACCCCAAAGTACGGCTGGATTCATAGTTTTTTACACAATATATTGTTGGGTGGTTTATGATGACGCACTTGGGGCTGCAGTTCCATGAATAAGTGGGCGAGATACCCACATAATTATAACTCGTTATTTGCTGGCCAAAGGCGAGGCCTATTCCTGCAGATGAGATGGAGGCCTCGTCGAAATTGGGAACCATTGTGCAAGAAATTGGGATGTTTCTGCAGTCGCTATTCATCCTTATTTGGAAAAATAAGGCTTATTATTTTACATAGTGTTATAGTTATGGTTGTTTAATGGCTATGAATGGCTATGAATTCCCAGCAAATGTAAACCTTGAGAATAGCCAATTTTCCGATGAGAATAGGGAAACAGGGAAACCATTGCTTCTTTGTCCCCACCCAATTAGGAACCGCCTATTTTTCCTCACCTGAAGCAACCAAGGGGAGTGTAAAATGACTGGAAAATGTGATTTTCCTCTGGGAAAAATGATGCATCCTTGTTTCCAGTTTTTTTTCAAGTAGATATATTCAGTAGAGGTTATATATATATATATCCCATTGTTTCCAGATTTTTTTCAAGTAAGTATGTCAATGACATATTTCAAGTATTTCAAGTAGAGAAGAGTAGGCCCAAAGTCATCCATATGAAAATGGGCCCATTGCACCTTCTCATTCCCAGCCTCTATCGCCAGATGTGATGTCCAGGTTAGAGTCAATGGATGTCAATGGTCCGTTCTGCAAAGAATATGCTACTCTAATGCAAAGATTCTTTTGCAGAGTCCTTACCTGGGCATGAAACAGGAAAGTAGGTACTCGTAAGCTGTTCCTTACTTCTATAACCTGTTCCCTAACCTGCAGTAGGTACCCATATTTGGTTCGGCATATTAACCTCCAATGACAGTGCTCGGTGGCCAGGTAGGTTTGGGTATTCACGGCGAGCCTGGTTTGCGAGTGAAGGCTACGGCCAGCACTACAGCCAAGGACGAGTCGGACTCACCACTTGCCACACATGGAGGTTTGCCCTTCAAAAGGAAGTGCCAAAGATTCCAAACCAAAGAGGTATCAGAGTTTATGGTGCTTCGTAGATTACCTCAATAAAACATGAATATATATATATATATATTATATTTATAATATGTACATATATATATATATATTTATATGTGTGTGTGTGATGTATGTATATATATATATATATTATACATGTAAATTTGATACCCCCAGACAACAAAATACTCCTGCAACATGTAAGGTCCCTGGCCCTTCTTGGGCCAGGAGATTGTCGAGACCATCATGTCGCAGTTGGCGAAGCACGTCCCACGCAACGCGCGATTCCTAGGGGATTCCCTGGGGAAAGTAACATGGGGATGGGTTCAGTGGCTTATCCCAAGTAAGTAGGTTATAAGTATAACCCTAGTCATAGGTGGAAAAAAACCCTACTTATCCCACTTATCCCACTTATAACCAGGAATATAAACTACTTAGTAAGTGGGATGAGCCACCAAGAAGTTACCTATGAATTTACCATATAAAAAAATATAAAAGGGGGAATAAACATCCATGAACGAGCTATCACTTAGGGTACCATCCGGGTACCTGGGTATTGATTCATAGCCACATAGATATGGAAAACCCATAGGGACACCCTAGGAAAATTGTCTACACATGATTTTCCACATCTATGTTAGTGTGCCCTATATATGGTAGTAGTTCCCAATGGGACATCCAGTTGAAATTGAATTTCATTGGAAATCTATAGGGAGAAGTCCCAGAAGTCGGGCCCAGGCTTGGTTCATGACTAGATTACCCATGACTAACCGGGGCTTGTGGGGGACATCGCGATGATTCATAGGGTTAGATGATATTCCAACTTATAACTGGGGGGTGCACCTTGCACAAAATGATGGGTTTTGATTGTTGAGGGGGGTGATTGTTGTTGATGCATTTGGTGGGTTCGGTTCTTATGGTTTAAAGTTGAATCAATTCGGTGTTCTCGATCATAAATAAGCATGGGATACTTGATTTGAATGAGTATAAGAATTGGGCTTCGTAATCCAAGGCAATTCTTGGATGCAAAAAATTCATTAAGGCCAGCAGGTCCACAGATGGCGGACACTGTGATCGCTTGTGATCGTGCTAACCGCGCACATTTTCTTAAAAGATTCAGAGCATGCCACATGGACAAACCATTTTTATCTTAAGAAGTTGATTGCTGCCAGCCATCCTGGAACATGTGGGGAAACCTTCCGAATTTGTTTCTTGATCGAGTGACTTTCGAGTTTAAACATGGCCAGGAGGTTCCCTGTTAAAAAAATGGGGCAAATCCTTATAAATGGGCATTTTAATGAGAACATCATGGAGCAAAGATGAGCCAAGTGAGGATTTCCCGGCAAACCATGTTTGATTACCAGTGAGTATATGCCAGAAAACTGCACATGTTTTGGGTGAAGCTCTTCACCTGTGTTAGATACGTCAGAGTTAGAACTTTGTGAACTTTGCCGTGTTTGCTCGAAGCCGATCCTGGCTAATTATATGTTTGGGTCATTCAATAGCAGGTCAGTACTTACAATACATATTTTATGCAATTTATAGAAATTGATGCGAAATGGCAGTTTCATCTACTCGGTACAACCCCCCCTTCCTGCATGTGCAGGTTCCCCTGTGCGTCATGCTGAACAATCTAGGTCTGTTGGGTGTGGGTTGGTCAGGTGGGACAAGCAAATGACACTGAGGAATTTTGGTGAACTCTCAAAAACTTGGCTTTGTTTAATGTGATTGGTAATTTTCCCAATGGGAAACCCACCGCTTGGGGATCTATAGTATCTACAGTGAAACGATAAAGCAGAACCAACAAACAATGATCGTGATCATGATCGTGATGGTGATGATGACGCTGAATCATGATGATGATGATGATGATGGTGATGATGATGATGATGCATCAATGATGAACTTGTTGATGGTAGTGATGATAGTGATGGTCATGAGTATGAGGATGATGATTATATAGTATTCTTGTTAACTTGTTATCATTACTATGACCAGTTTTATTAGGTCATGACGGTAATGATGATGAACCTTACCCCAGAGTCCCTTTCTACCACAACCCTCTCCAAAGATGCGCTGTCAGTGCAGGTACAGTGCCAGTGTTGGAGATGCAACTCATTGCAGGGCAAGTGATGAACAGCGAGTTGGGGCCAAGAATCAAATTGTTGAGCCTTGCTGCGGCGAAGCGGCGATGCGGGTGATTAGGATGTCTTATTTAAGTGTAAAACTCCAATGGTTAGCCGGTGATAAAATCGAAGGGTGATGTTTTTCATGTTTGGAGGGATGGACATGGGGACACCGACTATTTGGAGATGTATTATCCGCAGCGCAAGAATCTTCTTGAACAATTTGCTATAGGAATTAGGATGACATATATTGACATATTATATGTTGCCTTTATAGTCCTTCTTTTATAGATATGGGATGATTCAGTTTGGGCACAACAAAAAAACAACCACCAACCGTTGACAGTACCTGCGAAGGCGATCGCGTTGGAACTGCGATCAATCTGACTCCGTTTCCTCCTTTTTGCACCAAACAGCGACGAAGGTGATGTTGTTTACCCTCTGGTAATGGCTAACATAGCGAACTGGAAAATGGCCATAGAAATAGTGGATTTACCCAGCTAGAAAATGGTGGATCTTTCCATAGTTATGTAAACGTTTACCAGAGGGTATTCTGTTTTGTTCTGTGCAAATGGTACTCGAAATCATCTACAGTTTATTTACTGTAGATTTTCTTCAATTAACTAACATACCTTTGTTTTTGGGTATGCCGGTATGCCCCATTTTGGACACATCCAAATCAATATCATTATATATCATATATATATATATATCTGTTTTTATCTCTTTTTATCATTTTTTTCACGATTCATGGCTTGTTTGACACCCTTAAATTATCCCATTCCATAGGGAAAAAAACTGTTTGGCGGATCCAACCGAGGATTGGACCTGCTCACTTGATGACTGCATTGGATACGAATGGAATCTCCATCAGCTTCTTGGACGAATTCAGCAGAATGTATCGGTCTGTATTTTTGGGGCCCAGGCTCCTCCCCTGCCCATGGTCACACAATCTCAAGCGCAGATTTCGTAGCGCTGGAAGGTGGTTAAGGCTTGATTTAGGATATTTATTAAGGGTTAGTTTTATACAGTATATTTAGGGTTGGCTTAAGGTTGGTTTAAGGTTTATGTATGGTTGGCTTGGGGTTTACATAAGGTTGGTTTAGAGCTTATTTAGAGTTAGTTAAGGGTTGATTTAGGGTTTATTCAGGGTTGGATTGGGGTGTATTTAGGGTTGGGTTGGGGTTTATTTAGGATTGGGTTGGGGTTTATTGAGGGTAGCTTTCGGGCTCAATTAAGGTTGGTTTCGGGTTAGTTTAGGGTTGGTTCAGAGCTTACTTCAAGATTTACCTAGGGTTGGTTTAGAATGTATTTAGGGTTGATTTGGGGTGGGTTTGGTTTAGGACCTATTTAGGGGTGGTTTAAAGTTTATTTAGGGTTTTTGTAGGGTTGGTTTGGGATGTATTTAGTGTTCGTTTCGGGTTTATATATTTAGGGTTTAGATATGTTTAGATAGGGTTCGGTCAGGTTTGGATTGGTTTGGGGTTTGTTTAGGGTTGCCGTACGGTTTGAATTTCTCCATTGTTTTATAGGTAAATCACCGAACTATATAATAGTGCAATTGTTCATTGCGGTCTGTGAAATATATGATAAATTGTATGCCAGGCCAACCTCCTTTCTTTTGCACAATAATAGAAAAAAACACATGGTATGGAAACGTGGCGTCCCAAAACACATGGTATGAAAACAAACGCTTGCACTAAATGAAATAGGCAAAATCAACCAAAAAGACAAACAACCACAGACACAGCAAGCACAAATTGGCCTTTGGAGAGAAGAGTCCGGGGGCGGAGCAAAAAACTGGAAAACATAGAAAAGAAACGCAGACAAACAATTTATATACTTAACTTTACTTCGTGTGATCCCCAACATGGCATATATCCTGAGATTGTATCTGACATTCTACCTTACTTTTTTTAAAAAAATACTTTTTTGTCATTCTATTTGACATTGGGCATTCAGACTTTTAGTTAGATTGTCAGACTGTCACTTAATTAATTAATTGACCAGATCGCCCGGGCTTTTAGTTCTCTGAAGTACCGTATTCTGTGACTGTTCCTGGTTTTTGATCGGTGAACTTCCTCGTATAGCCTTGGTGATTCAACCATCTACGATCAATTTGATGATAAGTTTGTCCTTCGACCCCGTTCATACTGCATCCTCACATACGAAACAAATACTTACTAACCACTTTATCCACTTTACTCATTAACCATATATATTTTTGACCAGTTCATACCAGAAGGCTACATGTAGCAACCCCCAAAAAGATTTTTTTTACGTCGCTTTCTATACCTCTGTTGTTTTTCCCTTAGGCCAATCCATTGATATAATATCCCCATAAAACACCCCAGTTTCAGACAAGTTTTGGGTAAACCTTGGGACATAGATTCGTGGAAGAATTCACACCATGAAGGTCCCGATCATTTTCCCATGGTTTTTCCATAGTTTCTTTGTCACGAATCTATGTAGTAAATGTTGAAATTTACCCCAGGGTACCTTCCATGGTTTACATCCATTACATTCCCATGGAGCATTCCCATTACGTTCCCATTAGGTTCCCATTACGTTCCCATTATATTCCCATTAAACCATTGATGGTTGGTACTCCCATATTTTCCCTTAAACCATCGTAAACCAATCCATTGATATATCCTCAGTTTCAGACAAGGTTCTAGGAGTTCTAAGATGTATCCTATGAGTTGATGTTAAGTATATCTTGGGTCTTTGTTTTTAATAGTGTTGGTAAAACAATGCCATAAACAATCCCCCAATTTCACCATGTTTATAGGTGGTATAAACAATTCCCAGTCATGGGCGGTTTATGACATTGTTTTACCCAGTTTATAATGGGTTCATAGTGGGTTTTTACCATTGTGTCAGACAATCACTGGATTGGTTTAAGGGACATCTTAACCGGGAAACCATGGATTTTCCCATGAGAAAAAAACGGGTTTCCCTGTAAAAATTCCCTTAAACCGTCCCAGTGAGACAAGGTCAGGATGTCAAGATGCTTCCCAAGGCGTGTTGCCCTTGGAAGATCGGAGCAGCCGCGTGGGCACAGCCCGTGCCTTAGATGCCAAGCGCGACGGCGGTGCCGAAGGCCGAGATTTGAAAAACGGAGGAGCTTGAAGGGCGGCTGAAGCCATGAAGAATGGTGATTTAATGAAGATAAAAGGCTTATTCCAAGCAAGAAATGGTGATAACATCATGATTTCATGGGAGTTAATAGTGATTTAATGGGGATTCTTTGCAAAAAATGGTGATAAATGGAGATTTTCTAGATTTCATGTTGATATAATGAGGATATAAAGGAATATTAAAAAAAAACAGGGGATACTTTCTGGTAATTTGTGACATAGCTATGGGATAATATTTTTCAATATATGTAAATCATCGAACAATATGGTTCATGGCTCCCATGGCAAACTTTCAAATTGCCAGAGGGTATCAGGAAAACATGGCTTGCAAGGGATGAAATTCAGATTTTTTCCCGCATTCGCCTGAGAACATTTCGATGTTTGTTTCCCTTTGTTTTGTTGATTTGTCAATTTGTTTCCTGACAACGTGGATTTTCCGAAGAGAGAACGGATTGAATTGGTAATAAATTAGATGGACATTTGGAGTTAACCACATTTGGATACATTTAGTCCGCCAGGAAATTAGGATTATTGATGGACATACGATGGTATATGGACATGAATTGGGATGTGTCCGATTAATTATTCCGGATTTTAGATAGGATGCGGCATGATTTCTGTAAATGGAAGCAAATGGGAAGTGCATCACGTTGTACCATCAAGGGGTTGGGGATAGTTGGGGTATGAATGATAGATGCACTCAGCGGATATATGAATAGGCCCGTTACTAGCTGGATATGTGAATAGGCCCGTTACTAGTTTATATGGTTTCATCACATTCTTACAAACAGGAAATTAAATTTTGATGTATCAGCACACGAGCTTTGACATGATTTTACCCGCAACAAGACTTTAGGTTCCTCCAATTGGTTGGTGAAAGCTGTGCTTATCAGTGTTCCTATCCACTCTCGGTCAGATCTTCCTGTTTCTTGCTTGTATCACTAATATTCTAAATCATTCAACGTCTTCGCTGGCAAAGTGATTCTATATTCTCCCGCACGTAACATCGGATCATATGGTATTTACATGTATTGACAGTATTGATCGCAGTCCGAATCTTACCCTCTGGTAAACTAACATAGCTATTGAAAATGGCGATTTATAGTCAATTTAACCATTAAAAATTGTGATTTTCCATAGTTTTTTGTATGTTTACCAGAGGGTATGTGTAAAAATCCTGGTATGCCGTTTGTAGTTGATATTCCCCATGCCTTCGGTGATGTTCTCCCATCGCAGCCGAACACGGAACCTTTGGAGGCAGCCCAAACACGCGGAACCGCAGCAAAAGCGTGCATTTTCGAGAGCAGCTGGAGGTGACAGCCTGATCAGCCGCCCCTTTAATGATCTTAATGATCTTAATGATCATTACAAGTAGGATCAAGTAGGGTGTATCACAGAAAATGCCTCATAACGTTGATTTGGGACAAATTCGCATAATAACATCAGATGGATTCATCCAACTATATAGAGTTCTGTGCCTAGTTATCTATTTATTTAGCCTGTGCAGCTATGAATTCACATACTCATTTAAGGATTTATCATGATTTACCATTTGCTTATTTAACGTAGCTATGGAAGCCATGGCCCATTTACAGATGATTTTCCCTTAAAAAAAAACATCCCTTTATTTCATGGATTGTCCAGTTCGCTATGTGAAATAACCAGATGGTAAACATACAAAAAGCTATCGAACATGGCCCAGTCGAAATAGTTGATGTTTCCATAAAAAACATGGTGATTTCTGGCCCATTTGTAGTGGATTTACCCATTAAACATGATGATTGTCCATCGTTTTTTGTATGTTTACCAGAGGCTAACCCGATGGTATCACCTTGATCTACCAGGACACAGACCCAGATGCTCACGAGGACGGCTGAAGCTAGCGCCACAGTGGTGCCTCAATGAATCGCTACCCTCTGGTTATGTCAAAATAGCGAAAATGGCCCAGTCGAAATAGTGAGTTTTCCCAGCTAGAAAATGGTGATTTTCCATAGTTTTTGTATGTTTACCAGAGGGTAACGTTGGTGAACATAACTCCAATTTCACAAAGTTAGGTAAGTTTATGGTTATATCGAATTAATCCATGTATGTAGGTGTAGATGTTTCACCAAGATGTTTCCGAGCGAAATGTTCGATCTCCGGACCCCAAGGGAACAGGACGAATTGATGCTGTCGGTTGTCATCTAGTGGGATCGGTGTCCAACAAATCGCACCATTTCACTCCGAAATGGTCTTCCCATGTCGCTGGGTCTCCCTGAACTGATATATAGTATATAGTTTTTTCTTTTTATGTGACATAACAAAAACAATGTAAATCCATTTTTTTGCTGGATTAAACAACCAGACATAACAGTTTTCATAGTTATGGCGCTACCAGCTAATGGGTATACTTTTTCCAACTTTTTGACTGACCAGCGTTGAAAACACAGCTACGGGCTCTCAGCGCCGTCGGACTGTGGTCCACGCTTACCGCGCCGGGCCATGGGACAAAGTTACCAGAAGCTGAGGCAAGCGTTAGGTGTGAACGAACAAAAACGGGTGCCTTGTTGGCAATGGTCGATGATGATGATGATGATGATGATGACCCCTGAAGTTTGTGAATGGTTTGTAGTTTATTCGAACTTGTTGCCCTTTTTGGTGCCCCTTTGCTTTGTCCGCCGCAGTGTTTGCTCAGCGGCCCTAAGTTGTTCAGAAGGTGATCTCAGTTGGAATGATGAGCTTTTTGTGCTGGCCACTGCTGGCATGTTAAATTAGATAGATCAGTAGATGAATAAATGTATGTACAGTATCCCTATAGATTGTAGATTCAGATGTTAAATGGTTGGAGACTGGACCAATGATGGCATGGTTTTACGACCTAGTAGATTTGCTGGGATATATTCAGGAAGAGCCTCGCCGCTATCCATAGACCATGTTCAAGGAGCATTGCTGCAGGTTGGCTATCGTTTGTTTGATGGTCCCATAGATCAGCCCAGTGTGGCTGTTGCCATGCTTAGTTCCTTTCCTCACGGAAGTTGCATTTCACTACCAGCAATCGCTCATTCTTGGACTTAATGGCATTAGATTTATTTGTCGTGTTCCATCAGCAACTAGTGCACAGTAGTTACCTGTACAGCAAATCAGTTCATGTTTTATCATCATCTTTTATCAAACTTGCAAAATGTGGATGAACTGATTCACACATAATCCCATGTGGGTTTGGCTTTCCCATTGTTGTCCTTTAATTCCCTCCCTTGGAAGCCAAGATCAATCATGTTGTTATGTTGCCTGGTTGCCTGGATGTGTCGCGTATAGCCACAGTGGCGACCTCCCATTGCAGTGCATATATATATATATATGTGTGTTTAATATACGCATACTGCATACATGTACAGCTACATGACACGCACACACACACACACACGCACATATATATATATATACATATATATATAAATAATATACATATATGTACCTATGTGTGTAGTTGTTTTACGTACCTAGATACGCATTGATTGTTGCAGTCACATCATGTCCGAAATGTTTAAAAGGTCCTGTTAGTTGGCCCCAATGGAGCTGGCAAGACCTGTGACTTGGCGATAGATTGGGACCATTGAAACAGAGCTATACTGGTTGGTGGTTTGGAACATTTGTTTTTTTTCCATAAGAAAATGGGATAATCCGTCCCAACTGACTAATATTTTTCAGATGGGTTGAAACCACCAACCAGTATAAATATGGACATGGGAAAACCATGGATCATTGGGAAATAGCCTTTGGAAAAAAAAATAGGACAATCATTTTTTTAATCATCTATAAATGCGGAATTGTTCATAGCTATGTTAAATAATATGAAATCACCGGATGGTACATGTACACCCCTGCCCCTCAACATGAACTCTATATTTGGGACCAATCCGAATGGGTGTATTTCTCTTGTTGGGATTAAACCAATCCGGCGGCTGACCCGCTTGAGATGGAGAATGCAACCAGCAAAAATGGTTTCCAAAAACAAACACCATCATGGAAGAGAGAGAGAGAGAGATATATATATATATATTGTTATTATACGATATATATATACATGAATGTTGTGAATCTAATGCATATTTTGACAAGTAGGACCTTGAGCAAATCCAAGAGTATAACCCTAGGTTTGTCGCGATTGGTGCATGCAGTCAACCCTTCTCTGTGTTTCAAAGATTTGAGGCTGTGTTTGCCTCAAGTGGAATTGGTTCAAGGGAAGCTTATTTTGAAGCCCGCGTGATTGATGGTCAAGATATGCTGCGATGTTTATGACATTTCCATTTGCCCGCGACTATTCCCAATCCCCTAAGATCAAATACCCCCCATTTAGGACCTCAAATTGAATAGATTCAAAACTAGACTGTTGTTTATTGGGGCTATTTATACCTTATACCTATACTTGTATCTATATCTATAACATCTATATCATCTATATAATCATTTATATCTCTATCTATCTATCTATCTATCTATCTATCTATCTATCTATCTATCTATCTATCTATCTATCTATCTATCTATCTTTCCATCCATCCATCCGTCGGTCTGTCTGTCTATCTATCTATCTATCCATTTATCTATCTATCTATCTATCTATCTGTCTGTATAGATAGATAGAAAGATAGATCGATAGAATGATAGAATTGATAGAATAGATAGATAGATAGATAGATAGATAGATAGATAGATAGATAGAATGATAGAATGGTAGAATAGATAGATCAAATAGATAAGATCGATAGATAGATAGATAGATAGATAGATAGATAAATAGATAGATAGATAGACAGATAGAATGATAGAATAGATAGATCAAATAGATAAGATAGATTAGATAGATTACATTAGATTAGATTAGATTAGATTAGAAGAGATAGATAGATAGATTAGATTAGATTGGATTGGATTAGATTAGATTAGATAGATTAGATTAGAATAGATAGATAGATAGATAAGTTTCCAAGCGGCTGGGTACAGACAACAACAAGAACCGCTCATGAGTACATGGGAGAAATAACGATAGAGAAGAGAGAGAGAGAGGTGAATGGGAGACGCAGTTCCATGCGAAAGACGGAGGGATGGACAAGTGGATGGAGCATGATGGAGCGATTTCCGGATTGGCCCCTCGATTTGAGGCTTGCTGTATGGCCTGAAGTTGGGCTTCGATGAGTCACTTGGGACTGAGGTGTTAAGTCAACCGGGACTGAAAGAGGAGGACGGGGCCCATAATGCCCATAATCGTAGCTAAGTTGCTTGGGTGCAGTATATTTGTAAGATGGGGGTGTTGAACCAACCTTTAGTCAATGGGAATTTCAGGATCCTAAAATGGAGGTACTGTACCATATAAGACCCTATTTTGTGGGGATATTCCCTTACATGGCCTGAAAAATAGGCCTTATATATGGACTCGGTACCTCCTTCATAAATCGGTTCCATCTCGACGGCCAGTGATTTGGCCCAGAGACTGGTGGTCAAATCACCATGGGATTGAGAGGTTTTCCGCATGTTTGACGAGCGGGGGGAAAGGTTGCAGGAAAGGAAGGTGCAAGATCCCATTCTGGTTGGTGCTTTGGAATATTGTGTGTTTTCGTACCTATTCCGGATGATTATTGAATTATATAGTATGAATACTTGGTTTTATTTCCAAAATATATTCACTTTGAACTGAAACACCATGACACCAATGGAAACAAGTTGATGAAATACCCTTGTACGTTTGCCATGTGCTAGTTTCAGCGTTCATTCCGTCTTGGCACAAGTGTTCCAACATCTTCCTTGAATTACACCTAACTTTTGGCAACCCAGGACGTTCACAACCATGCCAACTGTGGGTTTCAATGTCGAGACGTGGACTCACAAGTTCAAGGTGGGATATCCTGGGATTCTGAGCCTAAGGGAGCAAGAATGGGATGCAGTTGGGAGCGTGGAAGCAACAATAGCTGGACTTTAGATGCGTACACATGAATACATATACAATATGTATATATTATCTATATGCCATATATATATATATGTATACATATGTATGCATATATATATATATATCTGTGTGTGTGTCACTTTAGATGTACTTAGCTATGTTTTGTTCATCCAGCGGAACATGAGCTACAGTTTTTCCCAGTGTTTCCCAGTGTTTCCCAGTGTTTCCCAGTGTTTCTGGATATTCTAGATGGTACGATTTGGAGTATCCCCAGTGATCCTTTGTGCTGCTTTCCCCAAGCTTCAACGTGGCATAGCCAGCCCCATTTTCTGCGCAGACCTTTACCATTTGGGACCTCGGCTTGCGAAGCAAGATGCGACCACTGGTCAAACACTACACTCCAGCCCTTCAGCAGATGACTTCAGGGGAAGGTATTGTAGAGGAGGAGATCAATCCTGGATGATGAATAGAATGTGATAGACTGTTTAAACTTTAAACTATAGTCATGTCTCTGAATCCTGAATGAAGATGGAACATATTGAACATAGTTTTATCCGATAACAATCCTAGACACCTTTTTTGAAACCTTGGTTTAGTGCTGGGCTTGTTGATTTTGCTACTTTAGGAGAGGTTCTTAGGGGGCAGAATTTCAAGGTAGGTTGATCATGAGCACCAAAGCACATTTCACCCCACGACATGTGTGGATTTTGTGAAACTATGTTGGGTTTCTGAGGATTTATGCAATCAGAACGCACATGCCCTGAAGTCAAGCAATTTCAGGAAGCTTCTTTCAAGAATAATTTCCATGGCTTCACTTCAAAAAGAACCAAAGTGGATACAAATTCCGCAGCTACACCACAAAAGATGGAAACATGTTTGGACATATAAAAGCCACCAGACATGAAGCATCAATATGCCAAGGTGATCCCCTTAGGATGTTTAGGCTTAGGGAATCGTAACATATCTTAACCAACTAACCACCAAGAACCAATCTTCACCTTTTCACTAGGGTACTAGTTATACTCGCCATGAATCAGAAATCCAAATCCCCATAGAAATCAGTTTGTTCATTTGCTTAAACACCTGGGTTTGCACCGACCACCTCGTTGGGGCGTCACGCCAGCGTCAGTCAGGCTACAGACATGGTGATTTTCATGCTGGACCGCTCGGACTCCTTATGGGATGCTGATGAGTTGTTTCTTCAACGCATTGAAAGACGCTCTTGGTTTATAATAATTTATAATGGCTAATACTTTGGTTAATATGATATTATAGTTAATATATGGATATATATTTATGATAATTAGTGATTGTTAATTGATAATAATGGTCAATAATTAATATGGTTAATATGATTAATGTTATATAGTTTAAGAACAGGTATGATGATAAGGACATCTCAATTCATTGGATTGATTTTGTTTTCAGGGGAACATCTGAACGCCGGAAACCCAATGGATGTTTGACCATGAAAAGATCTACCGGGGGGTTCCGGTGAAAATTGTCCCATCATCCAATTCTGTGGTCAATTGTTTGGGAAACAAGTTTTTGGAAAGTCATGTCCAATCGAAATTGTTTTCATGACGGATGTGCCATTGACAGGACGGATGTGGGCCGAAGTTCCTCCAAAATGGTAGAGATGTCCAGTTGATGACCTTAGTGGTGTGAACCCAAACATGGCAATGATATGCAGTAATTAATGTTTGCTTGTGACATGTGCCTGTTGGGACCTGGGTCTCATTGCTAGTTTTAAACAAAACTTGTATAAGACGATGGTTTTTCATAGCACAATGCCATCTCGTTGCATCATTGGAGATCGTGGTTGAGCATGGTGCCATCAAGTTTGGCCCTTCTTGGATGATAGAGTCATTGATGAAGTACTAAGTAACCCATAATGTTTGGTCCAGCGTTTGGTTCGCAGTTTCTTATTTTTTGCTTTCAACACCTACCGCTGAACTCCATTTTGATGGCAAATATTGGTGCAATCATCCATTGGATGTTGCTTATTTTTTTGAGTTGGGGCAGCTTGCATCAAGCATTAAGCCATGTGAAAGAAACATGGGTCTTGGAGCGATGGCCCTTAACATATATGACCTCAGTTCTAGGAAATCTATTCCCATTTTTAGCTGTTAAGGGCCAGAACTGTGAAATTGATTAATATTTAGCCCAGGCAGATCCCAAAACGCATCGCCCGAAGCTGCAACCTCCACTTTGAGGTTGGGATATGTTTGTAATGGGTTGCATGAGGAGAATATAAAGGATGTGCCTTTCCTATTCTTTCTCAACAAGCAGGAGCCGTGGACTGTGGACATCACTGTGCAATGGTCTTAGAATTGGGTGAAGGGAACACATAACATTTTGTCAATTAACAGAAACACATGGTTTTTGTTTTAAAGCTTTTCTCTAGAAATCCAGCCATTTTTTCCAATGGTTGGAGATTGTGGCGGCTGGGTGGGTTTCCCTTCCAGGATCTGCCTCAACACCTGACCATGCTGGAGGTCTGCGAGGAGCTGAAGCTACAAGATCTGGCCAAGAGCCTCAGGTGCTGGGATCAGATCCCTCTGGTAATGACTACCATAGCTATTGAAAATGGCCATAGAAATAGTGGATTTACCCATTAAAAATGATGATTTCCCACAGCAAACTGTTAGTTTACCAGAGGGTATCCTGCAGGAAGATGGTAGTCATATGGGCACTTCACAAGACACCACGGGCTGTTTTTTGATGAGGACAACTGGCTAGGCGAGAAGAGTTTGCGATTGTCGCAAATAGCAGTTAGAAGACATGTGACGGGCATCGTTTTCAGAGAGGACTTGATGAATCCTTTCGCTTCTTGCTTGGGAAGCATATTTCTGGTGCTGTGCCATTTCACTTTTTCCCAGTTCTAAGAACCGAGGGCCGGCGTGATTGTTAGTTGGTTTGCTGTCCTTACTCTGAAACCAACATGTATTGTATAACCTTATTTCAGATATTTGAGTGTGATTTGGCTCTGTCAAGTGCTGAACATGTCTGAACTGCAGCTTCTGCTGAAGTTCTGTCTGAAAAACTCCCCGCCTCATCCCTGCCCATTGTATTCTGTTTCAGTCCAGAAAGCAACTAAGGAGGCACCGTATCCACTTGCAACCCTGCTGCGCAAAGACTGGCGAAGGAGTTATGGAGGGGATGGATTTTCTGACCTCATTTCGTGCCTTCAATCTGCAGATGGTGGGAGTTGACAGTCCAAGAGTGAGGTGGTTGCAAGAAATTTGACACAGGCATGTGTATGTTGCATGCGTTTTAAATTTATCATGACATGGGGGTTCCCTGTCATTCCCTTAGATTTTCAGCTTTTGGGGAGAAGATGGTAATTTTGTCAGAACCACTAGAAGGTTTTTACATGTTGCAGGGGATCTGGAACCAACCAGATGAAATTCTCTCTTCAAGACGCGATGATTTTCTCAACAAGTGATTCCTGTGAAAACATAGCTTAGAACTTCCCCCAACCATCGCCTAGTCGGAAAATTACACATTTTTGGGACAGCGGGTTTGGCACCTGATTGGCCGCTAATGGGCTTTAGAAACCAACAAACATCACTGGGGGCCCACCTTGTAGGTGATGTATATAGGTGTGCTTGGGTTGAAACCACCAACGTTGATCCATCACCTTCTAAGAAAAAAGTTGAAGGTGGGGTACCTGTGGCCCCCGTGGGCACCAACATTTCACGAGATACATCCTATCCATTGCTATCTGATATTGCAGTGTCTGAGTGTCTTTTAAGGGGGCCAAAGCCCAAAGCTCCAGCTTTCAGGGCCTAAATGACCCAGCTCAACAATTTAGCTCAGGCGGCGGAAAGGGCCTTACCATGGCTGGCTGGGACAGACCTGGCAAGGAGACACCGATGAGCTACTTGGTGGATCAAACAAGGAGGGTGTCCTGATCTCTTAAAAGCTATTCTTGGCTTGCGATGGGTCGAAGTTCAAGGGCGGACACGGTCATCCAATCTACAGATCTTCAGACCTTGGTCATTTGCAGTGTGATCTATCCAAGGTGCCCAATGTCCCCATGCCCAACACGCAAAAATCTTTGGTTTCAGGTGCCACCGGCGGCTACCGAAGCTCCGACCCTCTGGAGGCTGGGGCCGCGGAGGCCGCGGAGGCTGGGGTCGAGGGCGAGCCCGTGACCTTGGCTGCGGCGGAGCTGGCGGATGACGTCTTTCTGCAAGCCTTTCAGGAGCAGTTGGATCAAGAATTACTATGAATGACTGGGAGGAGGTGTAACATTTGGTGGGTTTAATTCAAATTATTGTTCAAGACACTTGCGATGGTGGTTTCAAAATGTTGAAACATATTTATGAATTGTTTATGAGCTTTTCAAGCATAGAAAAGAGATGATTGGCTGAGATGACTATTATATAATGTTTTTGGGATAGCTGGAAACCACCAACCGGACATGTATCTGGTTGATTTTGGTTGGTGTTGTCTTTTTGTGTGTTCCTATTTGTCCTGGAATGATGATGTTTGTAAGATTGCAAGTGAGCAAACTATGGCAATCTGAATTGCAAAGGAGAATATTGTAGTTTCATGATAGGAGAAGCATGGGACAATATTACTGCAGAAGTGTTTTACACTTGATATAACTATAATAATATTATATGTCAATATTTTTGACTGTAGGATATTGACAATTATACGCAAACCTGTGTTAATCTGGTTGGTGGCTTGGCACATTTTTTAATTTTCCATTCAGTTGGGAATGTAACCATCCCAACTGACGAACTCATATTTTTCAAAGGGGTAGGCCAACCACCAACCAATACTGTAATGGTTTGTTAAGTTAGCTGGCTTTTGTTCAAGCAGAAGAGGAAGTAAAAGGTAGAATATGGTAGAATATCATACCGGTTGGTGCTTTGATTTGGGATGATGACCCCCATTGACGCGTATATTCTTCAGGGGGATTCAATCCCCCAACCAGAATTATGATGTGTCCCATTAGATAATCGTTCTACCTTCTTTATGATTTTATGATTAGTATTATATCCATTACACTGGACTTCAAGGAAACTATGATCATGGCACATGTATGGTGTAATGATTACACCATCCATGTGCCATGATCATAGTTTCCTTGAAGTCCATCAGTCCATCTAAGATTCACCTTGATGATGGGGACAGCGCGATTTACAACTAAGCTATCATATAGGGTTTGTGGATGCTTATGGATGATAATGAAGTAGTGTGTGTACTGATCTTAATCTGAATGCAGAGTTATGTGATATATGTACATGTGGGTGTCTATCTATTCATATTCCTACATCTCTCACCCTATATATATATATATTCAGTTTACCTACATATTTACATATATATATATATATATAATTATATATATATATATATGTACCTATGTTTTTATATATGTATACATATATATATATATATTCAGTTTACCTACATATTTACATATATATATATGTATACATAATATACAGTATGCACATGTTAAATCCAGATTTACTAGTATACTACTTATATATATGGATATTTAAATATGTATATATACATATGCATGTATATATATATATTCATATTATATCATATATTATATATATATGTATGTATATATTCATATTATATTATATTATATTATATGTAATATATATATATGTATTATATATATGTGTATATCAGCATCTATGGCTACAACAGCTATATGTTCACATTTCTATCTCTACCGTTGTGGCTCCAGGATCGCCAGTTGAAGCCTTTCGGCCCCGTGGAGATGATGCGACTGTCCTTGTTGAAACGTGCCGTGGTGGGATCGGAGTCGATGTGATGTCGGGATGTCATGGGGACATCATCTCTACCCTTTGGTAAGTTCACATAACTATTGAAAATGGCCATTTACCCTCTGGTAAACTAACATAACTATGGAACATATTGGACAATCAATGGACAATCACCAGTTTTAATGGGAATATCCACTATAAATGGTGATTTTCCATAGTTATGTTAAATTACCAGAGGGTAGTTCGTTGATTTACCTATCAAAGCTGGGGATTTTTCCATAGTTACGCTAGTTTACCAGAGGGTAAAGATGAAATTCGATGATGAACTATCGGATGATGAATCATATGACTATTGTATAGTATTGTCTTTGGCAAAAGAAATGGATGATGGATTGGCGATTGATATCCCCATCAGACTCCCATCATTTCCCAAGCTGGGGCCACCTTGTTATGTACGCCATGGTTTCTGGAATTGTATGGCCACGAACGATCTAAAACGCGCGAGAAAAAAAACAAAAACAAAAACATGAAATTAGATCAACGTAGTCATGGTGGACTAATGGATTATGAATGATTATGACATATTATATTAATATGTATATGTGTGTATATTTATATATATATACATGTGTGTATATATATATATATTATATATATATATTTTTTTTAGCATCTGCCTGCAAAAACTTCGGTGGCCACTTGTGTTACCTTTTTTTGGTACCCATATGGGGGGAAGAACCTCACCCCAAAATTGCCGAAGAGTTCAGGTGATGTCTTGTAATCCGGCCCTGTTGAATGCTTGTGGTGGCCAATTCTTCTTTTTGTGTCAATGGGGAATGGGTGCATGTGTCCTCCACATAGTTTCTAAAAAGTCACCTGCTGGATGATTCTGATCCTGGAAGCCACCCATCAGTTCTTTTTGTTGTTTGGATTAATCAGGTTTGGTCTCTATTGCTAGTGGTCGAAGTGCAGGATTTCTTCATTTTGGCCCCTGCTGCGGTTGTTTCATACTGACTACTTGGCACTACTTGGAAGGCGTTGTTGTTGATATGCACGCGAAGACACCATTTTTTTGCACATGGAATCTGATCGATGTAGGTTTTAAGTAGTGTTATTCTTGGTTCAGCCCTATGCCAATATGTTTGGTTGGGGTTGGTCTGGCAGAAGTGGTTTCAGGAGTTCAAGGGAAGAACCCAAGGAATCTAAGCCTCTTTGGCTGACCCCACTGGCTGATAGCAACTCCCCCCAGGGTTCAACTGCCCCAACTGCTTCAGGGTGGGCCCCCCAAGATGGTATTTGTTTTTTCAAGCTTCAAGAACTATCAATAACTGAGATTTAGAAGAGATGTATCGAACTAGTTTGGGGCACCATTTTTCAGAATTTATTTAATTTTGTAACTGGTTCGTAGCCATTGCTATAACCCCAGTTGTTAATGGAACGCTAGGAATTGGGACTCAGCAGCATTCACCACCTCTCCCCTACTGGGCCCTTGGTAGTTCCAGTTATGAGTGGATATATAACCGTAGTTATATATAGGTACTATATCCCAATAATTCAATAATATCTCCAAATTTATGGTGGTTATTGGGATATATACGATATATCCCAATGGCTACGAATATGGCTATCCATAGTCATAGATACACAAATTGGGACATATAACTTTCATATAACCATATAATCCATATATGTCCCAGGTTATTTAACCATCAGTTCAATGGCCATTTCAGGAACCGATTTATGAAGGAGGTACCTACCATATATTTTTTTGGCCTATTTTTTAGGCCTATGTAAATGGAATATCCCTAGAAAATATACCCATATATGGTACTAACGTATACTAACGTACCTCCATAAATTGGATCCTGAAATTCCCAACATATCTTGTGCCCCATGATCATCAGCTATGGATAGATATACAATATACCATCAATCAATAAACAGTACCCTCTGGTAAACTAACATAACTATGGAAAATCACCATTTTTAATGGGAAAACTCACTATAAATGGCCATTTTCAATAGCTATTTTGACATAACCAGAGGGTATATCCATTAATATTCCATTGAATCGCCATAAAATCCCATTAAATCACTATAAAATCCCTCCATCTTTCCCCTCCCCGGCAGGTTTGGAAGGCTCCAGCGCCTTGGCCACCTTGGAGACCGCTCGCCTCCAGGGCTGCGTGCCGCACGCCACGCGGATGCACTTCTGGGCCACGCGGATCTTCGCAGCGCCGCTGCCGGAGACTGGGACCGGGGGAGGCTGAGCGCAACTTGGTGTTGGTAAAGTCATGTCATAAACTACCCATATACATATGAATTATATCATATTATATCATGATATATATATATATATACATACATATATTTATATATATGTAAATGTATATATATATATATAGTATAACTGATAATTATATTATGTGATGGTTTATATGACCCATTTAATTCTGGTAAGTCATGGGCGATGGTTTATTCATGCTTTACCAACAGTGATCTCGAACTAATCTCTAATCTCTATAGCCAATGTATCTTCTTAATATCTAACAAACCTCCAACACATATAATTCAAGTGTTGTTTAATTGTCGTTGACTAATCTCTATCTTTAAGAAGATGGCCATGAATGGAACCCCAAAGTGGTGATATTAATCTAACGTCTTCAATAACCAAAAAAACTTATCCAACCCACAAACCAGAATGCACATCACGTAAAAGGAATGTAGACAATAATTCTGTACCATCTAAGAATGTAAGAAGACCTGAAAGAACGAAATGCTCGCAACAGCCACCTAGAGCAGCTGATCACACCACCAAGCCTTTTCCACTAACTTGAAGAATCGCCTCAATCATTTTGCGGGCCATTGAAGGGAAGTATGTGATGTGTTTGTTTTGCTGTATAGTTATATATAGTATGTATGTATCCCCATGGTAAAACCATAGTTCAACCCCACATTTTGATACATTTTGATGGTTTTGGGGAATGGATTTCCATCGGAAGGAGAGGGTCACAGACACACGGAGCTTCCTGGAAGAGCACCCGGAGCTGCTGCCCAAGCTGGACGCAGATCGGGAAGTGTTGATACGCCAAGCATATAGCGAGAAGATTGACCGTGAAGCTACCTGGGCAGCTGGGCGGACTTGGAAGTGACAGGAAGTGGCATGAAGTAGCATTATTTACATAGTCTTTACGTAGTCTCTACATATTTCAGTACTGTTTTTTTATATCCATGTTTTACCTTTGCTGTGTTACTTGTTTTCATGTCTTGTCATGTTCGGGACATTCCACTCTTCTCGAGTTTTATCAGCACAAATAGAGAGAGCGAGAGAGGCACAAAGGTCGTGTCCGCAAGGCTCACATGGTGGTTCCACCTGACCTGAAAACTGCCGATGACGATGCATCCTTTTGGGCACGCATGGCTGCTCTGGCGCTGTTGGCCAACGATGTTCATGGTTTTTGCGTGTTTTTGCACCCCATATTGGGGAAGATAAACAACCAAATGTTCAATGGTAATGGGTGCATATGGGTGCTAGGCTAGATGGTGCTAATTGACAATTTCCATTCACATGTCGTCATAGTTACCCGGAGAAACTGAAATGATAGCTAATGTATATATATATATAGAAGTGTTATATGCGCGGGATTTTGTCGCTCATGGTGGCTCCTTAAACTCTGATGCCCGGGCACCGCAAGGAACACGATGCTGGCGCCTACACTGGGGAACTGGACTCCTTTTGCTCATTGGTGCGTCTCTCGGTATCTCTCGGTTGCCTTTGGATACCCGGACTGGATTGTTTTGTTCATTGCTGGGATCTTCGGTGAATTCATTGCATAGCGAAACTGAAGGTTCACATGCTTGGATAAAGTTATAAAGCATGTGAAATGTGTCTGCTTCACTAAAAATTGAAGTAGTTGTGTTTGATTCATGATATGTCTTGTATTGTCTTGTAGTATTCCTGGATATCCTGGATCTTGTAGAGGCGCACTGGATGTCTTTGTACGCATACATGAACGTTTCAGATTTTCGATACCTACAGATATAGATGATGATTATATGCATGCAGTCATTGCACGCACACGCACACATTTCATTACATGAACAAAGAACTCAGATATGAGAAACATACCTTACGGTGATCAGACGTGTTAATTGAACATCCACATCCTCTGTTTACTTCGATTATTTTCTCGGCAATTTTGAGACAACTCCAAAAGATCATAAAAGGTTGTTCAAATAGATTCCCATTATATCCCCATTATCTCCTCATTATCTCACCATTGCAACATATTGTAACCCTTCAATAGCCCCCATCCGGATATCTCCGTGGCCCTTGCCGTGCCCCGAGGCCTCTCCTTTCTGCTACTGAAGGCCATGCCGCGGCGCGAAGCCATCCAACGCTTGGATGCCATGCTGCGACGCTGGGAAGCCAAGGGCAGGAAGTTCCACGACACCCGGCAGCGCCTTGGAGATTTGTACCGTGTTAGACTCAGATATACATAGAATTATATAGATATACAGTTATACAATGTTATACATTGATATACTATAATCATCAATATTACATATAATAAATGTTGATAATTGTCAATAATGATAATAATGTTGATGATTGGCATTCATCACTCTAGCAACCAGTATTAACAATCATCAACTGTTTTTAATCATGGTGAAAACCATCACCATATGCCACTGGCCGTGCCGGGACGGAAGTTTCGAGAAAGAACAATGACCATGGGAGCCTGTGAGGTGCAGCGACTGAGCAAATGCGTAATGCATCCGTTCTTCCGGACTAAGATGGGCGTAATTGAATTGAATCATTGAACCCGTTGGGCCAGCGCATGTTCTTTAGAGTCGACTAACCATCACAGGAAATTCGAATCTCATCCCTGCGCGCATTCTGAGGGTATTTTTGGAGGATTAGATCGCAGTTGTGAGCCAGGTGGGTTCCCTCACTGCATGTATTACCCTCTGGTTATTTAACATAGCCATGGAAAATCGCCATGTTTAATTAATAGGTAAACCATCTATAAATGGGCCATCTATACCATGGCTATGTTAAATAACAAGAGGGTAATTTCATTTTATTTGTTTGACATGCTATAACATTTGACAGTGGATGATCATCTCAACTCTCCTTTATTTGAGATGGCTTTGCGCGGATCGCCAAGGTACGTGGCCTTGCAGTTGGCACACCTGGCTTTAACCCAGCACCCCTCGTTGCAAGAAAAACCCTTCACTCGGCTGCAAGAGCTTTGTCCGGAACTCTGTGAGGAAGACTGTCGCCTGGCGTGAAGCTGAGAAATCCCTGAGCCATGGAGGTCTATAGCTGAGAACATCCACTAAATCGGAGGTTTTCCGGCAAGCCATGTTTGACTACCGCAGAGGGTAAAACAACGCAAAAACATGGTGAACCTCAGTTGATTGATGTGAATTGATGGGTGCATGATGGCCATGATGGAGCATTATGCCAAGTACAGTGGCTTTTGTTGGGCAGTTGTGGCTCTCGGTTCTCTATGAATTTCGAAGGATCATGTTGGCAAGCGCGGGGCGGAAATCAAGATGTTTGGGTCAAATCTGGAAGGTCCTTAAAGCATCTTAAAGCAACATGAATCCCCTACAGCAAATGGAACAGTTTGCTGGTTGGTGGTTTGGAACATCTTTTATTTTCCCCAATAGTTGGGATGATGATGCAACCTGACTATATAATATATTTTTCAGAGGGGTTGAAACCACCAACCAGTTTGTGTTGGATCCAAAAGCTAGACTCAGCTGGACCCACTCCCAGATGGTTTGCACCAAAATGTAAGGTGTATTATAGTTTGACTTGTCCCAAATGGATTATATTGATTCATACTGGGTGTACAGCTGTAGAGGCAAAAACAATCGATCACGTAGGTATTATGTTTGATTTTCGTGACCTTGGATGCATCACGACTACAGGCATCTACAAATACTACTCCGAGAAAGCGTTGTCACAGGGCCAAAGTAGTTTCTTGGCAGCGGCTGTGCGGTACTGCAAGGTCACACTTGGGCTTTTTTGGAAGCGTAACGGAACTGAACTATAGCCTTGTCATGTCGACAAGAAGCGTATGACAACGTGATATTTTCCGATACCAGATGATCCCAAATGGTGATGTTTGGCCATATCATGTGCCCAGAATAAAGACATTTTGGAATGTGAGCGTCGCATGTTCGGTCGCCATTCGGCTGTTTCACAAGCAAAAATGGCACCATATGGCAGTGGTATGACACCAAGCCGCAAGATCTAGAATCTAAAACCCTGTAAACACTGGACATACAGGACTATGATCCCTGAAGTGAAAGCATGAATGCATATGCATGATGATGATTTTCGAGACACTTTAACATAATACAATATAATACACATATATAATGCGATATTTATGGCGGATACTAAACTCCCAAAACGATCGAAAACCAAATCTTCAATCACTATTATACATATGATGGGAATTTACGAACAAATCGGCATTTTTTCAGTGTTATTATCCCTAGTATGATTTCAATATATTTCAAATTGAGTGGTTTCTTTTACTTGAATACAGGGTGAGTCCCCACAATTACGTTTCCTTGGTTATGTACCCAGTCACTAGTTCGTATCACCCTAATCAACCCAACAGTTAACCAAGATAACCAAGTTATGTGCGTCAACTTAGATATCGTGAACGGTGGCCTCATCTTGTCATTATAATGGAGCTTATGTAGTGGCTACTATCCATTAATAGTGGTTATTTATGTCCATTCATATGTACACTAGGTAGTTACTACTATTCATAGTGGTCATGAAATGTCATGAATAACTATAGATACTTGATAGTGGTTAAAGATATCCATTAAGACTTGTTATAATACAATATATAATAATACATAATTCCCATTAATTCCACCTTTGGGATTTCGGATGGCCCCTGAAAAAAGGGGCAATCCGAACCCCGCTCGGTGAGGTTTTCAGGCCCCGGACCTACAGCCACTGCCATCGAAGCTGGACAGCCCGCCCTGCACGTGGCATGAGCAGCTGAATGACCAGGAGGGGCGCGGAGCTTTTCTCAGTGAAAATCGATGGGAAATCATAGGACATCTACAGAAAATTGGGAAATGGCTGGCGGATTCTTGGGCTTTGAGTTGTTGTGTGTTGTTTTTGTCCCAGTGAAAGTTGACAGGTTCATCATCCAGAGATGTTTTTCACACTAAAAAACGCATCTTAACTGGCATGTTTTGGGCGTTTCATGGAGTTTCATCCATTTTCAGACACACCCAAATCATATACAGTACAAATACATACAAATACAGCGGTATTCCATGGTATTCCATCTTGAATCCCAATGTTATCTCCGTTTATGGTGTTTTTTAATAGCCATAAACCACGACGTGGTGTTGAATCAATGGCCATTTCAGGATCCTAAAACGGAGGTACTGTACCATATAAGGCCATATTTTGTGGGGATATCCCCTTACATAGGCCTTATATAGGCCTTATATATGGTAGGTACCTCCAATTTAGGATCCTGAAATGGCCATTGATTGAAGTTCATGTTTTTGTTTGGAATTCGTCACCAGGAGTTCCTAGAAGCGGTTCGAACAAGATCTCTGAGTTCCTGGGGCCTGCCCAGCTTGGCCCGTTCCCTGGCCACTTTGGTCGGATGAATTGGTAAGATCTTTATGGAAAACCCATGAAAAGCCTTGAAAACCCTATGACCCTATACTTAATGTTTTTGTTTTTTGAACAACAAAACAGTGAGTTCGTCTTGGCACATGGTTCAACATGCCCTTGTTGATGATATTCTTGCAGTTTTTTTCTTGGCGTATCCGGCCTGAATGATCTTGAAGGTAACATGGGACCCAACAAAATTTCCAATCGGTAATCAGGTAATGCATCTTGCATGAAGCCTTTTTTTTGGAAGATTTCAATGTTGATGTTCAGGCAGAAGAGTTTTGTTGGGTCCTGTAAGTCCTGTATCCTGCTTTTGTTCATTTCCATTGCCAAAATTAAATTGGGACCCATGTGCAGGAAGAAAATCACAGATTTCTGCCTAGAAACACTGTTTTGGTATTGGACCTATTGGAGGGATGAAATGAATAGTGTTTGCGAGTCTACCCGTTTGGGTTGGGTCATGGATAATGTCCCCCCTAGATGAATAAAGCCTCCCAAATAAATCCAAAGAGCGATACTACTCAAATGGAACGTGCTCCATTGAATCCATCAGACCCCTTTATAAATCACCAATGAAATCCATGAACATCACCATTCAACCACATTTTTTGCCAGGAAATCCCCATGAAATCGCCATGACCTCCATTTTTTTCGGATGCCGAGGTCTCTCCTACCTTTATCTCTCCGAGCTGGGCCGCCCTTCTGCCGTGCAGAAGCTGCTGGGCGACCTGGAAGATGCGAGGTCGGTCAAGGTGGGGGCAGCGTGACTTTTGGGAGTGGTGACTATTCCACTGGGTAAATTATAACGACCTCACTGCGACCTCACTGGAAATCATAGTTAGTAAGGGGAATCATCCCAAAATGGCCTTAATTCAGATTAGTGAAATATTATAATTTACCCAGATTCCACCTTCCCTCTGGTAATGACTAACATAGCTATTCAAAATGGCCATAGAAATAGTGGATTTACCCATTGAAAATAGTAGTGGATCTTTCCATAGCTATGTTGGTTTACCAGAGGGTATGTATGGTGCCTTACAAATTATAGTTGCCAATAACATCCAATAACCAGTGATTTTTTATGGTGCCAACATGGATATACTAGGGGGGATATTCCACATATTCATAGGATTTTAACTATATAACTATATAGTTAATGGTGCCCCCCAGTCAGTTATGTTTGTTGATTGATAAACCACATTAACGAGTCCGTGAAATATCTACCATAAACCATAGCCTTTTCAGCCACGTTTCTGTTCGGCAACGGTTCACGCGAGCTCGCTCGACTGGGGGCCCCATCCTGCAATGGTGAAAATCAGCCAGCGGATCCTGAGAGTTTAATCACTGACTGAGGGATTTAACCATGGTTTAACCATGGTTTATCCATGGTTTATCCATGATTTAACCATGGTTTATCCATGATTTATCCATGATTCAACCATAATACCTGGGGAGATAACCATGGAAACATATATTGGGGTACACCCTGCGGGATGACCCTCAAGATCAGACGGAGCGCTGCTACTAATCCCTTCCCAAAGTGATATTCAACACCCACAAGAAATCATGGGTTTGGAAAGGATTTTAGGATACAGGATATGTTAGGTTTTTGTGTCCATCTTTTTTCTCCAACAAGTTTGAGCCACACGAGAGATAAGACGACCATCCAGGCTGCGTTGAATTGATTTAGCCAAGGCCAAAGTGGCCAAGATAAGTGGTACGATTTGACAGGAGGCAAGTCACTGACACTTACTGAGAATAGAATAGAAGTAGCCTCTGGTAAACTAACATAACTCTGGAAAATCAATATGTTTGACCGGTAAATCAAGTATACATGGGCATACATGGGCCATGTTCAATAGCTATTATTATGTTAGTTTACCAGAGGGTAACACATCGAGAACCAACCTCTGTGCCTGCCACCCGGCAGATCTCCGGGGAGAGATGACTGTAGCGATACGCCCAAACCCAAATGGAACAATACATGTCCATGAGCGGCGAACTATGTCACCAGTAGGAACACGGCACCAGATAGGCAAACTAAGGCATAGCGAGAAATGTTATTTTTTTTGAATAGCCTCATGAGAAAACCTTTAACTAGTAATACTTTAACTGGAATGGCACGGTAAAACACCCTAGTAAATGATTTTAGACATTTTTGCAACGATTTATTGGGTGTTTCAAAAATTTGGGATCGGATGAGACACAGTAAACCAGGATTCAAACTTGGGAGAAGGGGCTATCAACAAACATTAATGATCATGAAATCTACACCGGTTTGCTTTGATTCGCTTGTTCCATATCATTCACAATTACTTACCTAGAGATTATCCTGAACTTCAAACTGTTCTTGCATTTGTACTCATGCACTTTTCCTATAATTAAACATAATTTGGATCGTGAATAGAATATGCATCCTGTAGCCCATGCTGACCCTGACCACTGACCTCGGAGGCGTTGAATCTGGGGCTCTTCGCACACGAGACCTTAGCCTACTTCACGACGCTTGGGAAGTAGCTTGAGGTGAGCCCCGAGCCCCAACTCTGATGGGAACTGGATGGCTGGAACCGATTTCTAGCCTGGAACCATGTAAACCGGCTGTTTTCATCACCATTTGCATGGGAAAAAACCAGGGTTGATTTATTAGGGGATGATCGGAAGCAGGGTAACCACGTGGTTAGAGACATTTATAATTTATAGAGGATTTGCATTTCACAGATGAGCTGCGCTATAAACTCTTTATGTATTGGTGAGTAAGGGGACGGTCATAAGGTGGCTTCGCGTAAGCCAAAACTGCAGTGGCGTAAGAGCTGCGCAAGGTTTTTGGCTTTGAATGTTGTGCGTAAGCCTGCGTAAGGCATGCTTGAAAAGCACCTTTTGGCTAAAGAATGAAAGAAACATGAGGGTCAATATGCTTGGTCACGTTGATGACAGTCAAATGGAAGGGAAACCGAGCTCCAGATATTGCAGACTAGGCAAAACCAGTGTGGCCACGGTTCGGTTCGGTTTTACAGGAAGTCGGTTCGGTTCCTAAACGGTTCGGTTCCTATAGAAACCGGTTTTTCCGGTTCCACGATTCCAATTTGTTCGGGTTGAGAAATGTTCATTGCTGCCACGAAACCAATTTTGAAAAAAGAATGTGTTTTTTCGCGTAAGGAACGCGTAAGGTATGCGTAAGGAACGCGTAAGGCCCACCTGCTTTATCTGAACAGTTGCCCCATGGCCCCGAAACGTCGCCCCATGGCCCGAATGGCCCCGTAAGCCCCGAAAAGCAGGCTCGAAAGCGTCGACCGCAACAGGCAACATTGAAAGCTGACGGTTCAGGCTCGTCCTCAACATCCTCTTCTTCAACATCTTCATCTTCGGATTCGACAAATGATGAATGACGCACTGAAATACTCTGTTGCAAAAAAGGCCGCGTAAGGAACGTGTCACGAAAAAAGATGACTTTGTGGTGACTTACTTTCGCGCAAGCCTTGCGTAAGCCCATAGAAAGCCCAGATCCCCGCGTAAGAGAAACCCCCAATAGCGTAAGGATGCGCAAGCATGTGCGTCAGCATGTTCTTACGACCTAAGAATCTATCAAGGTTTCCAGCATGGCTCAGATGGTGATTTTCTGTTCAATTTCCAGAGGGTGATAAAATATGTGCATTGGGCCAATGGCTCGCTGCCCTTGGCTAAACTCTCGGAGATGGTGATGGAGAGAGAGAGAGAGAGAGAGAGAATAAAATATAGAGTTCTATTTTCAGATATATAGGAAACATAAATTGTGCAACAAATTCGAGCCGTAGTCTATTGCAATCTATCCAAACATGCCCACACATTATCACACATTTCATTTATTCTAGACTGACTGGTGGTTTCAAATACAGTTACTTTGTTTGATCGTTTTTTGCAAGCACCAGCAGATGGTCTATGTCAGCATTCGAGGATTCACATGATCCACTACTTCATTGCGTCTCAAGAACTGTCGATGGCTGAGCCCTTCAGCGACCTGGTGAAGAAATGCGCATCTTGGCAACGCTCAGGTGGTGTAGGAAACCACAAAATTGGCTGAAACTGCGGCTGAAACTGGGGTAAACCATGGTAAAGCCAACAATAAACCGACCATAACCGATGTGGGCTGGTTTGAACAAGCCATTTGTGGCAATGTTGGGGATGGTTTACCATTGGGGTTAAAATATATCGAAATTCATTTTTAATTTTAATTCTGAAGGGGAGAATAATGGTAATCCATAGGGTGTTGGGGTAGCCTATGATTCCGACAAACCTAAATTGGACAATATGTAATGAAACTGGATCTCAAAGACTATTTCAAAAATCAAATTGAACACACTTGGCAACGTCGGTTCCAGGTACATCAATCTATATAGTGTTTCAATGGGAACTGCGAGTTGTCGTTCAGGGGCCTGGCAATCTGGGGATGTGTCAAGTCGCCCGACATGACTGGCGATTTGAAACATGGGTCACTTGGGTCCCAACTTTGGTGGTGCGACGGTCAGCGACGGTCAGGATAAGATTGTGGATCCCACGCTGTATCGCGCATACTACTCAGACCAAGCGATACATTGCCGCTCGGCGAGGGGAAAAAGCGGATGGGGCAGTAACAAAGATGGGGCGGGAGGATGTAGGATACAGCATGATACAGCCATTTTGCAGTTTTTCAAAATGTGAACAGATGACCAGCACAGCATCAGACATCTTGACGCTAAGAGAAATCAGACGTGTTTTTTGAAGATCTGTGATGCGGGACTATCTGGGATGGAATTATTGACGATGTTTGCTAGCATTTGGCTATCTGTACAAGACAACCCCAGCTACTCGTATGTTCCGTGCATAGCGTGGTGCATGTTTGCCAAAATCTGTGACATGACTCCAAGGAAGGCAGGCCCACACATGGAATGTCATATCCAAACTTCTTCCGGCTCTCTGCGGATTTCCACCCGCTGGTAATTTGACAGTTTGCTATGGTATAGATGGTCCATCTCCTTTGATGCTTCACCTATAGCCTATAGCCTATAGATAAATGACGAACATTTTCTATAGCTTAAACTGCCAAAGGGGTTACCATCAATTTTTCGCTCTTTCATTGACTTGAGGATGGTTTTTTCGCCGTTTAGTACAGCCACTGCTTTCGCTGGTGACTCCTCCGAAGTTCCTGTTGCGCAGGTACTGAAGCCCGAAATTCCTTCGTGGTACCTGACCGATGTCCGCTCCCGGATCTGTTGCCGCAAGCGAGTTGATTTGGCTCCGTGTGAGCCGAAAACTGATGGACAAATTGACGAGCTGTATGAAGTGGGACACAGTCATTTGAAGATTTTGAAGCAGCAGCCCGGCTTAAAGACAAAATAGAATAACGGAGGGGCCAATGATATTGAAATTCTGTAGTATTCTGTAGCTAGTGATAAAACAATGTCTCCGTGTTTGGACAAAAATTGCCATACATGGAAGACATACTGAATTTCCAACTGTGTCCATGTTCCTTTGGCTATCTAAAATGATCAATATGGTCCGTGCCGTTGTTGGTCATCGTCAGTATTTTCCTTAGTTCTGGTGCAAAATATCCTCATTGTTCATCAAGGTTAGTCAGCCGCAATATGTCGTGGTATGTTGATGTATTTTGCCCATCAACAGGCCTCGTAGGGCCCTGTGCCGAGAGACAAATGGGCTGGGTAGTGCAGCGCGGCCGATTTCACAACTCAGCAAGGGACAAAAACAAACGCTGAAATACCATAAATGGAGATAGGGATATGAAGGGGTTAGGGATAGAGCCAATGATATGATATATGACTTGGATTGATTTTGATTGACTTGGAAATTATCTGCAAATATTGGATTTACAATACGTAGTTACGTAGTTATGTTAGTTTGCTGCAGAGAAGTATCATGTCTACTCTGTGAATCCTTTACCTCATAGAAGAATTCCGAACAACATGTTGAAAGGATAATAGAGGCGACATGTATTTGATTTGTTGATCACACATTTAAAACCATACGTACCTACATCGTCCCCCCTATTCCGGCTGGGTGGCAGGAGATGACACCTGTCGTCAGTTCGCGTGACACGGATGAAGTCTATCACGTGACAGAGGTGCTGGGTAGGGCTCCAGCGTGGCTGGTGCACGGTGCACCATTCCCAGCATTGGTTTAAAGAAATAGGAGAAAGTCCCGCTATCGTTGATGATAAAAACTTGATGTTTCCTGTAGAGTTTCTCTTGAAAGCAATCCATTTACCAGCTAAACCATATAAACCATATATAACAGCATTCTTCGGTAGTTGTTTGGGCGCTTTGAACATCAAAAAGTCGGCGTTTGCTGGGCGTTTGCTGGCCGTTTGCGCCTCAAAAGGAACAGCTGCTGCCACTGGACCGCAATGTCAAGAGAGTCATCACAGACCAAGAGGACGCTGGGGCTGCTGGGGCATTATCGCCCAGTTTTTTGATGCTATGAAAAAATGGGCACCGTAAATGCTACAAGGTGGTTTTGAACGGTTTTAAGTCGGTTTGAAGTTTTCTTTTTTTAACACTGAGTGTGATGTGTTTTTGATATAGATATATACATACATTACATTGTATATATGACATGACTTTACGTTGCGTTACACTGCACTACATTACATTACGCTACGCTACATTACACTACATACATCATACATACATGTATGATGTTTCCGCATACAAACGCTTTAAGTCATGGTGAATCTAGTCATACACCAACTTGCCAACCATCAACATCCATGATCCCATTTGTTTGCAGCCTAGTAAGAAACAAACTTAGTGCATGTTCTTGTGCGCTTGCGCTCTATGCGGCCTTGAAATGCCACATGCATTGCCACAGCCAAATAGACTCTTAGACTCTTCCTTAAACCTTAGTCATCATGAGCTTCATGAGATGATTCAGGTAGTCCAAACCTCCAAACCATGTCCAAACCCAACCGGCCGTAGTCTAGTCAAACAAATCAGGGACAAGATACTATACTGCTGACAGGGCGATGGAGATACATATGTTTTTATTTATTTATTTATTTGTTTGTCTGTCTATCTATCCTATCCTCTCCTATCCTATCCTGTCCTGTCCTATCCTATCCTGTCCTGTCCTGTCCTGTCCTATCCTATCCTATCCTTTCCTGTCCTGTCCTGTCCTGTCCTGTCCTGCCCTGCCCTGTCCTGTCCTGTCCTGTCCTCTCCTCTCCTATCCTATCCTATCCATCGATCTATCGATCTATCTATCTATCTATCCATCTATCTATCTATCTATTCTATTCTATTCTATTCTATTCTATTCTATTCTATTCTATTCTATTCTATTCTATTCTATCTATTCTATCTATCTATCTATCTATCTATCTATCTATCTATCTATCTATCTATCTATCTATCTATCTATCTATCTATCTATCTATCTATCTATCTCGACATCTATCTATCTATCTATCTATCGTATCTATCTATCTATAGCTATCGTATCTATCTCGATCTATCTATCTATCTATCTATCTATCTATCTATCTATCTATCTATCTATCTATCTATCTATCTCTATCCTATCTCTATCTTCTAGGTATATCTTCTATATCATATCTATATCTATCTATATCTATCTATATCTATCTATATCTATCTATATCTATCTATATCTATCTATATCTATCTATATCTATCTATCTATCTATATCTATCTATATCTATCTATATCTATCTATATCTATCTATATCTATCTATATCTATCTATATCTATCTATCTATCTATATCTATCTATATCTCTATATCTATCTATCTATATCTATATCTATCTATATCTATCTATATCTATCTATATCTATCTATATCTATCTATATCTATCTATATCTATCTATCTATCTATCTATCTGTCTATATATCTGTCTATATCTATCTATCTATTTGTTTGTCCGTCTATCTATTTATCTATCTATCGATCTATCTATCTATCTATCTGTCTGTGGAAAATCAGTGATATAATATATATATATATTAATTAATTAACTGATTATATTAGTTATTTTAGTATAAATGTCAAGTTGTGAGTAAAAAAACGCCCCCCCCCCCCGAAGGTAGGTACCTGGGGAAATTGATATCAATCTACTTTCAATTGATTGTCCCTTTAAACCAAGAATAAATCTAAAGGAGCCAAGGGTGTTGATTAATTAGGGGGAACCTTGCCTATTATTTGGGGGGGGGCATGGGCTCATGGGTGGTACCCTTTGCGAGCTTCTCAAAGCGATGTTGCGATGTTTTTTTTTAAATTATTTTAATAAGAAATCGATTATTTGGGAAACCCTTGTTTTTTTTCCCGAAATTTGGACAATAATTTTGGTTTGAACCAAGGCTGCAAACTGAGCTTGTGAGTGCAAAGTCACAAGTCTGTGACTACAAAATCACAATCCTGTGAGTGCAAAGTCACAAAAAGGCTGATGCCAATGCAACAAAGTAAGTATGATTGTATTTTGTTCAAAATATGTGACAAAAACATTACAAAAACAAAACATGTTTTCTCTATGGGGGTTGGTTAATCGGGTGATTCCCCCCTGTTGATTAATCAAGGGGGACCAACCCATTTTAGTATTGCCCAAACATGTTTCCTGTGTGGGGGTTGGTTAACCCCAAGGCATTTCATAAATACTATACACATTGTTTTTATTATTGTGTTTGTCATTATAATAATATTTTGTTTGCTATTATTTCTTTCATATATATATATATAATTATATATATAAATATATATATACATATTTGTTCTATCTACGTGCATAAACGCATGTGTATATATATATATACACATACACTGTATATTTATATTGATATATATATATATATACTGCACATCCGCTTCCAGCGCAACGCCGCCTCAGGAAAGAATCGAGCAACTGGTCTTGAACCATACGGGGGTGCTTCCTTGGAGAACTCAAACTACGCCGTACTGCAATTTGGCCATGGCCACCTGGTAAACCTAGCAGACCTAGCAGTAAGACCTCCATTGATCAGCGATTGCCCATGATTTCTAGGGGCTTACCATCTGGTAATGGAGAATCAGTCCTAGCCAAGCGGAGTTTCAATTCACTTTTCGATGCGGAATTTCCCATGCAAAACTACGAGCCAGGGATCAAAGAACAGCCAAGTGTATCATCTATTTTCAGCCTGTTGTAGGTGACTCATAGCCACGTCTGGGGGAATATAGGTCATTTTGCATTTGATTTTACCAGTTTCCCGGCAAGTCACATATGTATAGGTCTGGCTGAAAATAGGGCACACGCAAATCCCTTGTTTAATCACTTTTGTCCCTATCAACTGGCCATGTGGGGCAATACCACCCATTTCCAGACGTACTCAAAATTAAAATGACATGTGATGACACATCATCAACCGTGAGATTCCATGATATTACAATATCCCATTGATTACATCCCAGTTTTTCATGGAAAAATCAAGATGTTGCCTGGTTAAAGATGCTACAATTTGCTCAGCTGAGGGCCCAAAGGGGTTCAAAAGGGTGCCGTTTTTTGAGGAAAGACCTGAACGGAAAAAATTGCGCCACTGGGCAGCAACCAGCAGCAAGAACTCAACAGATTGAGGGTAAACATGTCAGGGAATTTTTGGAAAACACCAATATTCTCTGGGGTCAGGTGTTTGAAAAAAAAAGGAGACCATGTTCCTGGAAAAAATGTCACCTGAAATGAAACCAGCAGTTGCTGAGTGTGAACCCCGCCAGGTTTTCTGATTTCACTGGGACCCCTGCCGCTATGTAGCTACGTATGTTCAATCTGTGCGTGGGATATGTAAGGCAAGGTGAACTATGTGGAAAATGTTTACTGGTCTACCTTCACACCTATTAGCCAAAAAATATGTAGTGCCAATGTTTAAGATCATTATTTCCATTTATTTGTCCATGTTCGCAGCATTTTCTTCCAGTCAAACTCTTCACTTCTTTGGTTTCACCCCTTTTTGGTCATGTTGACCCTAAATTTAAAGGACTACCCTCTGGTAAACTAACATAGCCATGGAAAACCACCATTTTTAATGGGTAAATCCACTATAAATGGTCCATTTTCAATAGCTATGTTAAATTACCAGAGGGTATTGTATGTTTTTCCTAGATGCTGAAATATGGACGCGTGTTTTTTTCCCACACTCTTCATGGATTCCCTTGAACAGCGGGGCTTCAACTTGTCCTACACAGCAGTCGTGTTTTTTCCTGTTCAATACCTTTCCCCCAACTAACAATAGACCCTGAGGACAGCTCATGTTTGAGGAAAGTAGTGTTTCAGCTTCCTATTTTATGTGACGGGCCTATGTTACTTTGGAGGATGGTAGATCAATATTCTCAATGGTCAAATCCCAATAATTGCTGTTTAATTTCCACCACCATAATTGAATAACTATCAAATCACCATAGAAAACCATTAAGTAACCATTAAATCACCATCAAATATGTTTTTTTTCAAACAACAATCATCATCAAATGATCATTCCAGCCAATCATAATATCAGGGTTGCTCCAATCCATGCAAAAAAGCTACTGTGGAGCAACCCATTGAATAACCAAGTGAGCATTAGATCACCATCACATATTCTCTTAAATAGCAATTAATAATCACCATTACATAAATAGTATTTTTTAGATAAGCCATAAACATAACCACATTCCAGTCCATCATCATATGACATAAATAGATATAACTAGTAATTTAACTATACATAGATATAAGTAGATATACATAGATATAAATAGATATAGATAGATATAAATAGATATAAATAGATATAAATATATTTAAATAATAACTTAAATTTATATAGATATAAGTAGGTTTAAGTAGATATAAATAGATATAAATAGATATAAATAGATATAAATATATATAAATAGTAATTTAACTATAAATAGATATAAATAGTAATTTAACTATAAATAGATATAAATAGTAATTTAACTATAAATAGATATAAATAGTTATAAGTAGATATAAACAGATATAAGTAAATATAGATAGATATAAATAGTAACTTGAAATAAACAATTAACATAAAACTGTCATATGCTGCATGCTGCATCCAGGACGAATGGACGGCCATGCGCATGATTAGCTTCACAGAAACCGAGCTGGGCGATCCCGAAGGCGGCTTCACAGTAAAACAGGGTGAATTCATGGCGATGACTGCCAAACATATCCAGAAATGCTAGATGGTGATTTCTGATTCCTGTGATTCCACAACAAAGTGCGATTTAATTGTGATTTGTTGAGATTTAATGATGATTTCATGAGATTGCCATCCCGGAATCAAGCATGGTTTGCTGGACAGTCATCATTTTTAATAGATTAAAAACTCATCGAACTAAATTGGAAATATATTCATGGCCATGTTAAATTACCAGTTCCCAAGTGGTGTTTTTCTGAAGCATAATGATGGGGGGAGGAAACCTGAGAGCATTTCACAGGCAACTAGTTGAAGCAGGCTACACGCAAACATGTCGGGATGCAAGAATCGGGATCTTAATTTCTCACCACCATTAACCGCAGGGAAATTCCATCAACTGGTTTATTACATGATTTTCAGTATGTCATGCTTCCTATACATACCCTACAGAAAGACCCCCCGAGTTGTCAATTGGTTTTTACCCCATTTGACTAAAGATATATCTACCCTAAACCCTACTCAACCTACTTAGAGATACCCTTTATAGCTACGGAAAATCTTATTTTTTAGATAAATTCCCTACAAATAAATCAGCCATCTATACCATAGCTGCCATTGTTACGTACACAATTACAATTTGGTCTTCCACAATGGCCTCCCCAGTCGTGATGTGAACGTTGGTTTATAACCCCCATGAGTATAACTACATGACTACATATGTAGTTATATCATCATTATATATATATTTATCTCTATCTACCATAAACCATAGAATTCTCAGCTATAGTGAACACGTCAGCCATCTCAGCAAGTGAGCTCTTTAGATTTGGGTGGCTGTATCCCATGATTTCCCATGAATTCTTGGCTTTCGTGCCCCTTGGAGCGAGGTGCTGATGAGGAGGACATTGCATCGGACCCTGAGGCCGGAGCTGACAGATTTGAAACCCACATCTTGGGTGAATTTCTTAGGTAAACCCACATTTTGGGTGAAATTAAATAAAGATATCATTATGATAAATCTACAGACACTGGTAAATGTAAACAAATGACTGGAGGTGAAAAAAGGCACAGACAGGTAAAATGTCAGGTTCCAGCTCCCTACATTTGGGTGATTTTGAAGGTAACATGTACTGTGGGTAAATGTTTGCCATAGAACGGATGATTTGGATATTGGATTCTGCTTTCCTTTTGAACATTATCCTCAAGAGATTTGAATAAATGTCAAGGGCACACTATCGGTGGGTTTCTCTGAACATGTCATTTCTTCTTTTCATCACAGAGATGTGACGTGATCTCACCATCCAACGATCTCTTACCCTACCAGAGGCCCATTTATAGATGGTTTACCGATTAAAAATGGTGATTTTCCATAGTTATGTTAAATTACCAGAGGGTAAAGTCTTCAAACTCAGTAGGAACAGCTAGTGACTCGAAGCCCCATTGGCACATTGGCTACGCACCATGCGTCGCATGTTGAGGACTTTCATGAGCCCTCCCTCTCCTTGCGGGCGCAGCGCATCCTGGCCTATACCAGCGCTACTGGTTGGAAGGTGGCATGGGATGGACGGCAGGATGAAAAATTGAAGGCCAGCGGTCCATGGAGAGGTTTCAACTATATACATATATACATAGATTATTTATGTGTTGTTTATTTGTTTTCATATGTAATATCTATATATAATATATTTATATATATACGTATT